AAGAGCGCTGGCGGCAGGAGGAAGTTAGAGAGGGCTGAACCCAAGCTGCGGGGATGCACCAAACACAGACAGCAAGCAGAACCGCAGAAGAAAACTGGATTCCAGAGAGAGTGCATGAGCCACGAAGCGTAGTGCTGAGGCTACCGGCTGTGGGGCACGTGCAGCGACTTCGATGGAAAAAACCAGAGAAGCCAAGCAAGGAAATGGGTTCTTTATCCATTGCAACCAGCAGCTGTGTCTGCGACCTTTTCCAACCCTTTCGCAACCCGAGTCTGCATGTGATGCGAACGTCCAGCCTGTCTCAAGGTGTTCGCTTTGAAGATAGCGTTCTCTCTGCCGGGAGCGTAAACTAATTTGAAGCGTGAGACTCGTCGACGTGCCGCCTTGAAGGCGGACTCCACGGAAGAGGTTCCCTCATTCTGGGAGCTTCGAGTCACAACACGGCTAGGTCGGAGGCGGCGGCGGCGGCGCGGGCGGGATGCCTCCAGGCTGCGACAAGGCTTCCCAAGCACTTCAGCATGCAGCCGGCAGACCGCCTCTCGCATCTTCGTCAGGAGCCGGCAGTGGCGGCGGCGGCGGCGGCGGCGGCGGTGGAGGGACGAAGCGCGGCGTCCAGTGCAGGAGCAGCACGTCTCCATCCTGCCGAATGCCATGAGTAGCCCAGCATGAGCGATGGCCTGAGGGCGGCTGGAGGAGTTGCCGGGTGCTTCCTGAGCTCGATCACGTGCCTTCTCCCTTCGCAGCAAGTGTCGCGTCTCGCTGCTTCGGTTTCTGCTTCTACTCTCGCATCATGCGAGATCTCTCACACCGGTCCTCGTCCTCCACGGGCTCTTCCAGTGCGCGCGGATCCAGGCCCGGGCGGCCTCCCCAAGAAACGCAGGCAGAAACTCGAAAACCAAGCCGGGCACCCTCCGAGTGAAGCCGGCAAGCACCAGCCAGGTATAACACGACATTCAGTCCGGCAAGTTCCAGTCCATGCCCACAAGCGACATCCAGCACAAGATTTCTAGCGGCACCACAGCGCAACCGAAGGTTTCGGACCTACCGGGCGGCCGAAGTCGGTGCACGGCCCAGGTGGCAAGCACTTCATCGGCCTCACGAAAGAATAAAAAATCAGATCCAAGCGCCACCAGGGAGCTGCAGCCTAGCAGAGAGATCCTAAGACAGGGAGTCCGGCGACCCCTGGTGTCGAGGCACAAATCCAACTCTTCATCCTCGCCAGCAGCGCCCACCAGCGGCTTGTAGCAGAACACCTGGAAAGTCTACGGAGCCACGCCTGTTTGAGGAGGATCGGAACGACGCGAAGCACTTTCTGAGCCGCTGGCCCTCTCGTGCTGATCCTCGGCCCAGATGTGCGGATCCATCTCGGGCTCTGCCGGACGTCCCGTGTCCTGAGAGAAGCTCCGACGGACCCGCGAGACTCTCCCAGACTTCCCGGTCCCTGCAACCGAGGCGCTCTTGCCATGTCCACGAAGCAGGGAATGTGCTCTGCAAGGCCTTCGGGACTCCGCAGTGGAAGCAGGTTGGGGGTAAGAGCTGTGCATGAGTTCATGTGCGTGTCGAGCTTTGTCTTCCTAACAGTGAGCTGGGTACAAGCAGCCTGCGCTTCTTTGCCACCTGATTCACCAAGGTGCGTTTTGGCGACAGGATCAACTCCTCGAAGTCGTCCACCTCCTCACTCAATCCATCAGTCCTCGGCGTTGTGGAGGGCATGTGGAGCAGCGGAAGGATAGGGCTCTCGCTATTTCTAGCTCACCTCTTCTTTGCCACGCGTGAATGTCGAGTAGAGCAATTTATGTATAAAATAGTAAACAGGAAAGCCACGGGCAAACTGAAAGCAATGTCCAGCAAGGATTCGAGCAGCACCTGTTCAAGTCGAGGCTCCTGCCCAGCTGCCGGTCCATGTCCACAAAGCCGTGAGCTCTGGGATGCAGCAGATGCCGCTCAGCCTGGACAAAAAAAAAGCTCGAGGGCCTCTCATCGCCTTCCTTGCTGGCCCCATGCAAGGCCCTATCCCCACAGCCTCCAGCGAGAGCAGAAGCACCTGGTTTGTTGCGGAGAAACGATCGGAATGCCATACGGAAGCACATCACAGGCTGCTGGTGGAATCCTGTAACCTATGCTACACCACCTGGAACAGTTTTCCCACCCCACACAGTCAAGGTCTCGGAGATGGAGAGACGACAGGAGTTGCAGATGCTTCCCAGGCGCATCTCCCTCCACATCTTCGTCCTCATCTAATTTGCCGGAGTCTCCTCAGCGTTGGCGCTGCAAGCAATGGCTGGATGAAGTGGCGCCCTGCACTTGCGATTTCGGGGCGAGCGGCGTCCCTGCGCCAGGCCGAAATCTGCTTCGGGCGCCCGTTCATGGGTGATGCGCAGGTCCGGGAGGGAGTAGGACAAGCCTAGGACTGCAGGCGATCGGAAGCTGGCAAAGAATCGCCCTTTGCTCCAATGACCCCTTTTTTTCTGCGGATGTCCGAGCGGCGCAAGCTCGGCCAGAGGTGTCGGGCATGCCTCGCCTCGAGCTCCTCCCTTCTTCGGGCGTGCTCCTCGCGCTTTGTTTTTTATCACTCTAAGAGCTCTTTTGGCTGTCAGCGGCTGTGCCTGCCAGTCGTCGAAGTCCAAGTTCCGGGCGAAGTTGGCGAGCCCCATGGGAGGGTCCAGCTCCGGTCTGGGCTGGGAAGCGGCTGGGAAGCGGCTGGAAGCACGGAGGCTCTTCTGTCACATGCATTTGGCAACCCCGCTTGTGCTCAAGAAAGCTACCAAGCTACCCTCCATCCTTCTCAAAGCCCTGAAAGCTCTCTCGTAAGCGCTGAAAATCCCATGGCCCACGTCCGACACAAGTCTGCTCCGGGGAACAGGTAGAAGCGCCAGATATCTCCTGCAGACCAACTCCGTCGCAGCCGTGGCTTGGGCAGCGGGAGGATGATCCTGTGGTGTGAGCTGAAGGGGTGGAGGGTGCGACAGGGAAGTGCTAATTGCCGGCAGCATGGCTCCGACCCGATTCAAGCAAAGTCAAATCTGTACCGGACGAGAGTCGGTGCAGCATGTCTCCGGCGCAGCAGCAGGTCTGCCTACAGAGTCTTGCAAGGGTCACACGAAGTTGTTCAACAGGTACAGATGTCCGAAGCAACAGGCACCGTGTGAGGAATGAGCATATTGCAGCTGCAAGGACGTCGTGGCTCGTCTGAGGCTCTCGCCGACACGGCCGACACACCCAAAGAGCCCGATTCAGCCGGATTGGCCCAGCCTCCACATCCAGCAGGGGCCGTGAGTCCGGGCGGAGCCGGAACAGCGCTTGCAAGTGCTCCGGGAGACCGCTGCGAAGTGGCCGCCAGTGAAGGACCTCTGAAGCACAAGACCTCAAGTTCCCTTACCTGCCACTCTGCGATGATCTGCGACAAGTAATGGCAGCATTTGGGTTGCCAGTTTTGTCTCTGGGACCCGGGCTGCCCGGTCTGGACGCAGCAGCGGTGCACTCAGGGCATCGTACGCGCCCGGTCCCACGCAGAAGCCTGTGGCATGCGGAAGCAAAATGAGGGAAGCAAAGAGGTGGCGGTTGGGCGCACACGCGATTGCGGACACTGGCTAGTACAGAGCTCGTTTGATGACAAAAGAACGGTATGCGCTACTTGTAGAGAAGAGACACAACGCCAGCAGACTCAAAAGCAGAACTTCACTGCCCTTGTTTTTCAGTCGTGCGTGAATATATGCAAAGGCGCCAAGAAGTGCCTGTGCCCGAAGCTGGCGCCCGGCCGCGCATCAAGGCCTGTGCCCGGAGGACCTCGTAGCTCTCCTGCAGGAACTAACCCTGGTAGTCGCATGAGTTGTCTAAATTAGCATCCCTTTTGCGGTCCCGTTTACAACGGTGCCGTACTATTCTGGGGACCTAAAAAGGGACCCTCATTTAGATAACTATACCCACGGGTTATCGAAGCCAAAAGCGAAAACAAAAAAAAGCTGCAGCGCTTCGCTCCTCCGGAGGGATCGTCGCGGAGGGGCTCCGTGCTCGAGTGACCTCCCACTGCGGCTCCAGGGGTCCGTAGCAGGCAACCTGGGACAGGGCAAACTCATCATAAGGAGTTGGCCCTACTTTTACCGAACCAAAGATGAAGATTTCAGAAACTCCGAAGGCCGCGATTTCTGGATCCTACGACATCTTCTTGCATCCCTGCATCCCTCGGCTCCAGGAAACTTCCCGATGAATCAAAGCCACGTAAGTCGGGACCCGCTGTGTCGGATCCTCTCGGGCAGCACCGAGGTCGGCCGCAAAGCCTCGCGGGTAGATGTGGGCCTCGGCACGCCGCTTCGGACTTGCACCCTGCGCGGACCCCAAACCCCACTCAAAGCTCGCTCGACCCTCGGGGCCCTTGACCCTAAGGTTTAGAAAATGAAGGGCTTTCTTTGTCAGAGCTTCGCGAGCCCGGCAGAAATGCCATGTGCGCGGGCCCTGGCCCGGCCTGGGACTGGCGCAGGTCGTAGCTGGCCGGACCCGGTGTGGCCTCGCTCTCTCCAGAAAGAAGAAGGCTTTGGGGCACACAGCCATCGTCCCGCTGCCGCCAACATGAGGTCAAAACCGCATCGATACACCCTAAAGCCCTAAATCCTACATACTCCGGCAGCGCAAAACAGCGAAACCGAGGCGCCTTCTCCTCTTTGGGAAGGGGCTCCGGCCCTATGAGGGCAGAAGGTCCTGCGCAGCTAGGTTGGCAGAGTCGTTTCGAGCTTTTGACGAAGTCGAAGACAAGATCTCTGACATCGGGCAAGAATTCAACATCGAAATGCAAAGAAGAACATCCCCTTGAAACGCCTCCTAAAGAGTCTACAAAACCACTCTGAGCTCTCTCTTTCTCTCTCTTTTTTCGCAGGCCTGGCAGGAGCTCTGAGGTTTCGTAGGCCCCTGGCCCCGGCTTGTCGTCGGCCTTCGCAGTCAGGATTTTGGGGCACAGAGAGTCCCTTGCCATGGAGGCATCGTCCGCAGTTGGGCTGTTTTTCGACATCCCACAACTTGCAAGCTGAAAGCTGAGCAATGACGAGTGGCGAGCCTGTGGACCCCCTGCGCTCGAAATCACTAGCCTGACTAGATAAATGATCCCCGGCAATGGCTCGGAGGAAACACCTGACTCTCACATCTCCGGCTGAAGCCCTCAAGGAAAGGCCAGTGGCCGCCTGCAGCCTTGTAAGGCGCCCGGTCTCCGCATAGCAGTGCTCCTGCGAGGCGGGTATCATCCAAGATCCGAGAAGGCTCCCTCGCTGCATAATGTGTTATTCTTGGGATTTTGGGTCTACTGCAAGGCGCAGTCTCAGCGAAACCGCGAAATTGGCCCCAGGAACAATGACGATGAGGGACTTTCGCGACCTGCATTTAAGTTCTTGTTGACTGGCTCGCTTCCCTGCTTTGCTGTCGGTACAAACAAAAGGAAGACCTACCGGCTTGCTTCAAGGATGGGAGGCGCAGAGCTCGCAGCGCTCCTTGTCTGCCGGGCCCAGCGTTGCCACTGGCACAGTCACCTGGTCAAAATTCCGAATATCTCTAACAGCACCCTTAGCTGCCCTGGCTGCCTCCGGAAGCCATCATAAAGGAGGTGCGGAGAGGCAGAGTGTTGTGCAACTTGTGCGCCCACAAGTTGACCACGGGCCTCCACACGCTCGGAGGTCCAACCATCGTAGCACCTTCTCTGAGGTTTGCATCACTTTTGGCACCGAGTCATGCTCTCGAGGGAAAGGAGTCGCTTCTTTTGGATTCCGAGCCAAAGGGCAAGGGTCTGTTCGCGGCTGCATCTGCATCACGCCGTCCCTCAGTCCCTCCTTGGGTGGAAAGGCATGCCGCCACCTCCGACCACCCGAAAGAACATGTAGAATCTCACAGGGATTGTGACAAGTGTCTTCTGGGCTGCGTCTTTGGCAGCGGCAGGATCTTCCCTCCGCGGCACCTGAAACCTGGAACAGCAACATCTTGGCTCTCTCCGCTGAATGTCTCATCAATCCGAAGGTCTTCACAGTCTTCAGAGTCAAAATGGCCTTGCCCAATCGAACACGGCGTAAAGTTGTCCAAGGCAGCTGCAGTAGGCTGATCACAGAGAACGCATTGTCGCTTCGCTGGAAGTGTACAAAAGCGAATCTCCAAATCCCCCCCCGCGGTGAGCCGAAACTCGGCCAGCCGAAGCCAAGCCGCTCGGTGCCGGAGCGGGGGGAGCCGGGGGAGCAGGCGCCTCCTCCTGTCGGATGTCTCAGAGAATATACATACATAGATATATATATA